CCTTGTAGGCGTATGGATATTATCCTATCACTGACAGCATTGTACTTCAGGACAGATCTTGAAACATCCTTTGTGATGATGAATGCCACGCCCTACATTCACCTAAAAGGCACATCGTTACATGATAGTGTATAGGATCTAACTGTCCCCTGTAACCACAGATTTACTGAAAACTTAATTCAGAATTCCAACCTGTAATGTCAATAAATACATCTTTTCTTGTTACAGAGGTTTGAAAGATTTTCATTTACTCATTTTCCATACCTGCTAAGTAGTTGTAAACAGCACCTAGCATTCTCCTAGACCCAAGCCATTCATACAGCAAAGTATTTTCTTTTATGATTAGGCTTATGGAGCAGGGGTTCCATCAAGACAGAAGTGGGAGTGATAAGGAGAAGTGAACTGAAATTGTGGACTGGGGGCATGGGGAAGAAGACATTCAGGGCTCCAGCCCAAGCCCTTCTGAAATCCTGGCCTATCCCTTTCTTTCTTTCCTTTTAACCCTGGCCCCAGAAAATGACTTTTAAATCACGGTATCTCTCTTTTTGGGGCCAGTACAGCACAAAGCTCAGGATTACAGTTTTGTTAAATTTTCAGAGTCCTTCCTATTTCCTTTATCTCCAAACATTTTTTCTCTTAAATCCTTTGAAGAAAATAAGGGTGCAGAGGTTCAAATAATGTAAATTCGGTAGAATTATATTTTTAAGAAAGTCAAAGTTTACCTATCTTGGGGCCAAAAAGGCACTGGGTGATTTTCTTTAGCGGTTATAGAGAAAGGACCAAGGTTAACTGCTAGTCAGCTGGGAGTCAGTGGGGGGAGAGGGGTAGTAGAACATATTTAGTTTAGAGACAGAAGGAGAAATGTAGCTAGTCTTGCTTGGCTCAATCAAAACTTGAGGAAATACTAGATGTTTGTTGACTTCCTGTATAAGCCAAGTATATTAAAACTTGTTAAATATAGAGTAGGCATGCTATTAATATATTAGGAGCTATTATTTAACATATTCCAACTGGACAAGCATAATCAAAAGGCCAAAAATACCCAAACTATTGTATATCAGATTTTGTTCTTAAACCATGGAGTTGTTTTGAGATCATCAGAGGACATTACTGAAATTATAATACCATTATTTCTCATGATTTCATATCATTAGGATTTGGTTCTATTTCTTCATCTAATTAGCATGGGAAACTTCAATCAGCTTAGAGGGTGTGACAATAAATGGCGCCAGGTTTCAGTGTCTTGAGTTCCAGAAGAAACAACAAAACAGAAATGTAAAACACAGGTGCCATAGTGAAGCCTACAGGAATAAAATAAATTTAAGAAGTATATAAAATAATGCAATAACTAAATATGCTATTCAAATATAGTAAAGATAATTCATTCCCCTTGTAACATCTGATTTTTAATATTAAAGAAAATATTTACATAATGTTATATCCCTACGTTTTTTAGCATATTTATTAAAGGATATCTAAGACATATACTACAGGTAAAGTATTTCATCTTATGATTAAGCAGAGGTGTTAATTCCTCATACATTGGTCTTTTTGGAGCCCCACATATTAAGTTATCAAACATGTTAAATTAACTACATGTATTTACCATGAATAGAAAATATATGATAAAATTCAAATTAAATGTAATTCTAAATATTTTCTTGAAAAATGGTGTTATCAAATCTTTCTACAAGGGGAAAAGTGAATGATATGTAGTAACTGAAAAACATTGCACAGAAAGAACAAAAATTAAGATTATATTCAGGGAAAAAGTAAGATGTACTCAGTATATATAATCTTATGCATAAGTCTTTCAACTGGAAACCAGCAACTGATGTATATTTTATACTAAATATTATATTCAGAGACTAAAAGTAAAAGGAATTTTAATTCTCTTCTTTCTGTATTATAGTCTAGAATTTTTGAAAACAGAGTAAGTCGATACTGTAGCTGTTAAATGACTCATAGTTGTTTGGTAGGAACAGATGAGGGAGAAGTGACAAGACTAGATTTCACTTCTATATATAACAAAGCAAATGAACCCATAATGCCCTTCTTTCATTATTACAAAACAACTGCCCTAAATAATAATGGAAGTGCACAAAACAACACTGATTTTAAAAAAGGCTTAAATCAATTTGTATAAAGTTGTATTACTTTATCAAAACCAAGAACTATCTCTAATTAAAAAAATTCTGTTCATAAACTGAAGTTATTAACATATATCCATAAAATAATGTAGAATTTTATTTTTATCTACCATGGCAAAAAGAATAAAAATTAGTTATGTTTCCTTCATTGAATAGAAAGCATGAGGTTAATTTTCTTGAGGGGATGTAAGTTTTGGCTAAAGGGAAGTTATGAAAGTTTTCTACAATGGAATTCTGTGTCACGAAACCAGTGTCATTTTGCAGCTTCCTATCAGTTTTCACATGCAGAAACAGAATGCCTTACTGTTGGTGCTGTATCTACGCGATGGTTACAAGGCCTTCTTTCTATGCTGGTAAGCCCTGTGAAAAGAAAAGACTGTGAATATTCACTTATTATGCCCATCCATTTTATTTTGAAAACATTTATGTTAGTAAGGCATGACTCCTACAGCTTACAAGAAAAATGCCTCACTCAGATGGCAGGATCCTTTAAAGTCCCATCATGCATTCTTTGCTCAGAAACAGCTGGAGAACTGAGCTAAGGATGAGACCTGACTCAAGGTTAGTTGAAGCCAATTTTCCCATTCAAGTGGCATCCAGCAATAGTAATAGTGCAAAATATCTCCACATCTTACTCTCAGCTCAAAAATACTACCATTATCTGGGCTCTGCTGCATTTCTTCCATGGAAGTTTTATTTCTGACTTGAGGTCATCAAGTTTTCACAGAGAAATGATCACAAAATCTATGAAAGGAATAGCTTCTCTATTTTCTCAAAAAGAATAAATAAATCTATTTGAATTTCTCTTTGATCCTTTGACTTCCTACTAAGACATAGTCTGCTATTTATTATATTCCAACACCACAGAGTGGTGGAAGAAAAAAAGTCCTCTGATTATCTCTTTTAAAATGTAACATCGATTGCTAAACCCCCCAAAAATTATTTGATCACGTGTGGATTTATCTTTTTTGTTCCCAATGTTCTCCACTGCCTTTCTTTGTAATAAACAGCCTTTATGGATAGAACACATTGAATCTTATCCATAAAGACACTAGTTTAAGGTCTAACAAAAGTAAAAAACAGTAGGTCTCATTTACTTTTCTATCTCTGTCCATTAGTTAAACACCATCTGGGTTAACATATTAGAATAAAAACCATTGTCACTGAGTAGGGCTCACTGAGTAGATTCCAATTGACAGTGACAGGACAGAGCAGAACTTCCCAACAGGGTTTACTGGACTATAAATCTTTATAGGAGGAGACTGTCACATCTTTCTCCTGCAGAAGACTGGTGGGTTCAAGCCACAGGCTTTTCGGTTAGCAGCTGAACACTTAACTACTGCAACAGGAGGGCTCTTCATTAATTTGTTCAAATAACAGTAAAGGCTTTCACATGCAGGGCTGGATAAAAGAAAGACTTGCAATGAAAGTCCCAGTTGAAACAAAATGTTAGTAGCTCTCTTTAGTAAGTATTTAACTTGCTTTTCTTAAAGTATGATAAGAGATTAAACAAGGTCAACAGAAAACAATCTTTTTTTTTTAAATCATGTTGCAAGGACACAATCAAAATGAACAGAGAGCACTATAAAACATGATTTGTTGTTGTTGTTGTTATGTGCCATCAATTCAGACCCAACGCATAGTGACCCCTCCTTGAGAAATTGTAAATTTTGTGTTTCATTAAAAAAATTCTCTCAACATGTACTCTTTGCCTATGAAGCAAAAGGCACTATACTGTTTTCATCCATTCAAGTATTGTTTACTGAGTAGATACCTTGGCACTAAGGGATAAAATGAATGAATAAATTATGAATTCTGACCTCAAGAGCTAAGTTTAGTAAAACACAAATGTTCATTTTTTGAAGAAATACTACAGAACAAATTAATAAGGTTGTGTCTTAACTGTAATAACAAAGCTTTTAAGATAATTTTGTTGGAAATACATTATTTTATTTAAAGACTAATACTAGGACTTCAGGTAAGATGGCAGAAGAGGCAGACAAGCTACCCAGATACTCCACAACAAAGAAACAAGAAACCAATTAAAACAGATACAGAGGATAATCCTAGAACTCTGAGCTTCGAATGCAAAGATAAAGAAGTGGATTAAATACTAATTAGTAGAAGAATTGAATGAGAACAGGGAATAAGGAAGCAAACAGGGCTGTGGACTGTCAACTGGCCAGATGGCACAGACATTTTGAATATTTGCTAGTGGCATTCTGATTGGGGCAGCAACCTAGTAATTGGCTGTTTGCTAAGGACTGCACAGGCAACTGCAATAGTGGCCAGTGACGAGAAAGCAATTATGCTACATGACCCAACCACACCTGCACCTCCGGCAGCCCCATCACAGGGTGAGGGCCACCACCTGCTTCTGCACCAACTCATCAACTATATATGGCAGCCAATACCAGCCTAACTTGCTCTCAACTGTTCTATACAAATGGCTAACCGAAATATGTACACACATTCTCATCCTCTGTCACATCTACTAGGAAGCAGGTGGTAAGCGTCTAAGTGCTGCCAAACTAGTGAATACAGTAGCATACCTGCCCCATTTGCTCAGATATACCAGAGAAATATATCAGATATATACAATCAACCAACTTGACCTTACAAATATATACAGAACACTTCACCCAACAATAGTATAATATACATTCTCTTCCAGTGTATACGGAACATTTTCCAGAATGGGCTACATGTTAGGCCACAAGCCTCAATAAATTTAAAATCAAAATACTGCAAAACATCTTCTCATGTCACAATGTTATGAAATTAGAAATCAACAATAGGAAGATCAAGGAAAAAATATCAAACATATGGAAACTGAATAATACCTTCCTTAAAATCTACTGGGTAAAAGAAGAAAGGAAAAATGAACTTAAAAAATTCCTTTGAATCAAACAAGAATGAAAACACAACATAATAAAATCCTTGAAATGCAGCAAAAGCAGTGCTCTGAGGGCAATTTATAGCAGTAAATACACACAGCAAAAAAGAAGCATGAAAAACTGGAGATCCATTTGCAGAAAAATGAAACAAGATCTGTACCTCACACCACACACAAAAACAAACTCCAGATGGATCAAAGACTTAAATGTGAAACC